ATGCGTTTTCATGTTGTTCACCACGATTCTATATCAATTTGAAGCAGAAGCTACAAATTCTTCAGGTGTTGTAGTGAATGTGTCGAAATCATTCACCGCTAAGGTTAGACGCTTGTCTTTCATTTTATTTGAACCTTCAAACAGATTTACAGAGCTTGATGTGCTCAAAAAGAGATGGTGGAACACCAAACACCATTTTAGAAAAAACAATTTGATCATCATGGAGTTTCTCGATGTCATTGGCTATTAGAGGTGCATGTCTAAGTTCTTCTTGACCCATAAGCATAATTGCATCGTCTCTAACCGTCTGCCTAACTGGGACATGAGGACCTTCAGTTACATATCTCCATATTTCTTCACCCTTCTCTTTTCCTACCAAGAATCTCTCCATTCTAACCTTCCAATGATCATACTCTTCCACAACAAGCAATGGGGCTCTAGAAGGGCAACCCACGTTGTTTACGATTTTTCAATACATTTATTGTTGAGATTGATTAGGAGCAGCCATTGTCGTGTGTATTTTGAGAAAAAGTGGTATATAGAAGAACTTTTATCTTGAAAATAGAAATGATTGAGACACTAAGATAATATCAATCAACTATAATCTGATTGTGTGGATACCAATTGTGAGAACAGGGGATATCCAAAGATATCTAGGACAAGGTTCAATAACTTAAACCTTAAGATAAACACAACAATGGAAACAAATAATCTTTTCTAGTCAAGTCTAGATAATACCAGTCAAGCCTTGAAGATATAGAACAACAAAGTAAACAAGGTAGTAAATAATAATATTAGAAGTATGAACAAGAATACAAAAATAATCGAATGATTGATTGAATGATTCTTTGATTGATTATTCAAAGGGTGTGTATATGAGGGTGATGGTCCTATTTATACTTACATAGAATCAATCACAAAAGGATACACTTATACTAAAAGTAAATTGTAGATCAACCACCTAACATATTGTTATGTTTGACCTTGTCTCCTACAGGCGTTACATCAAATAAGAAAATATACAAACTAACAAAATAGTACTAATCTCAGATCATTCACTCTTATTCAATCTCATAATCTCTATCATCTCGAAAGGTAGTTGTGACATCCCCATTTTACGGCCCGAAAATACCTTTTCTTTATGCTTATTTTAAAACAAAGTATTCTTTATATTTTGGAATTTGTCCCATAAAAGTATTTCCGAAGAAATGATTTTTGTTGATTATAAAAAAAACTTGGGATGTCATAACTGATACAAGAAACATAAGCATAAACATAGTTATTGTAGGCCTTACAATATCTTATTATAATAATGGCCTATATCTTCTTGAATCTATCATCATATCACTATCCATGTACCTTTGTACCGGTACCTATGATACAAAGAAACGAAGAAACTGAGTGGGTCGGGTTGGGAAACCTGGTGAGCACATAGGGTTTTTAACCCAAAATATTATAATCTTTAATTATATATTTTTTTGAACAATAAAATAACCCAGATACTCATTCCCATTATCCTCACTTCCTAATCCTAAAACAATGATCTCGAGGGATCTCTCTCAAAGGATCTTTATATGCAGTAGACGTTGTCTATACTTTCCTATATGACTGTTGGATTAGGTGTCTAAACCCATAACTATAATCGGTATGTATTTGAACTGATAGCAGCACAATCCTTTTGGGTTGCCCTCAAACCTAGCAACTGAACAAGGAAATTAGGAAATGAGAGAGATTAATTTATTATAAGATTAATAAATTAATATAAATGATCTATTAATATGTTATGAGATTAATATATTAATTAGAAATCATAATGTTTGATTAATAGTTAGCCAGAAATTAATTGGAATTGATTTTGGGGTTAATAGTATTAATTATAAAGTACATGGACTAGTTTGCACCTATCAAATAGTTGGATGGAAGATTCCAGAACCTCCGTGGAGGAGGTGGACGAAATCTATAGGGGAAACCCTAATGATTTCATCCAAGGGCCTTGGATAAGGCTTCTGGATAAGCTTGGGCCCTAAGCAAAGGAACATTAGGGGTGCGTTTAGTTGCGGAAAAATGGGCCGTTTTCCGGAAAATTTTTCCAAGAAAAATGAGAAATTTGAAAACGCGTTTAGTTCGTCTATTTTTCTAAATTTTTCACGGAAAATGAAAATTTTCTGTTTTCTAAAATTACAAAGAAATTGGAAAATTTTGAAAAACCAATAATCAATGTTTTCCACATTTTTCTATTTCTAAAATTTTTCTAAAATATAAACACACATACTCTCATCCCACCCACCTCTACCTACCCTCACCTAAATACCCACAACCCACCCACCTCTACCTACCCACCCACCCCTCCCCCCCACACACACAAACAAACACCCACCCACCCACCCCACACCCAACCCCCACCCCCACCCCCGCCCACACACACACACCCCACCCTCACAAACACACACACACACACAAACACCCACACCCAACCCCACCCCCACCCCCCACACATACACATACACACACCTCACCCCCACAAACACACACACACCCACCCACCCACAAACACCCACCCACCCACCCTTATACCCACCCCCCCCCCCCCCCCCACACACACACACACACACACACCCACCCTACCCAAACCTATCTCATACCTACCTACCCCATCCCATACCCATCCTACCCCAACCTACTCCAAAAATATGAATTAATGCATTAAACTTAGCCCAAAACATCATGTTAAAATGCACCATCAAATGATTTGGTAACCATGGATTATCAATCTGAGATAGACATGAATTATTGATGCTCCACTGCTACAACCCAAGTTCTTGGCCCATGGCCCAATTGTTGTGATTTATGTGCGTCCAGATCAAGAGCGTATCACTCTACAACCCAAGTTCTCACATATCGATCTCAATTCCTTCCATTCGCCGCCTCCATGTCTCCATAGCAGCTCCTCTCAACGACAACAGCCTCCATGTCTCCATAACAGCTCCTCTAAACGACAACAGCTCCCCTCTCCGACAAACATCCCTTTTTTTGCGTCTGTTTCTGTGCTCGTTATTGCAAAAAAAAAACTCAGGTAAATTTAATTCTATTTGTAGCTTAATCGATGTATTTAATGGTTATGATTTCGCATTTTGTTGGTGTTGATGAGAATCAATTCTTACATATCGATATGAAATTCTTTCCCATTTCTTTGTTATCCGTCAAGTCTCAAGTGTTAACACCCTTTTTACCCATCACGCTACGTATACAGTTTCACAATTTTTTCTCATCTAAGGATATCTTTCAGATTCGATTACTAATTATGAATCTACTTCGATAAATAATTACATATATCGTTCTATTTGATGGTTTTCTTTCACTTTTTATTGGTGGTGACAAAATCAGTTGATTCTTGCCCTAGTTTCGGTTTATGGACTGATTTCTTGATATCATATAAAACCTCGATCTAAATTATAGATATCTATGCCAATTTGAGTATAATACATTTTAAACTTATCCCTCAATACTGCTTCAATTTCATGTCTGTATATGTAGATATTAATGCAAGTGTGTGTATCTCTTTGTGTGTAAATCTGTCTATGTATGTAGCATTCTCCTAATTTATCTCTAAAATAAATGGCCTATACTGCAACTCTGTTTTATGATTTGATCCCTTATATTACTGTACATGTTCCTAGATTCAATTTTAATATAACCTCTATTCATTTTATAGCCTGAGTTAATTATGCATTGTAATCACAAAACTCCTAATTAGTTTGGTTACTCTGTTAGATTTAAAATTGTTTTAGTGTGTTTAGTTTTAAATAAATTTGGTTATATATATATATGGGTGGGCACAGTGGGGATGCAATGGAGTGGACAGAAGCTTGTGAGAAATATTTCTTAGAGATTTTAGAGGAAAGGGTCAAGAGAGATCCTAATGGGGCTCCAATCTTCAAAGGAACTGATTGGACACAAATGGATGAACAAATTTTTATGAAATTTGCTTTAAGATATGGTCCCGAGAAGGTGAAAGCAAAATACCACCGCCTTAAATCTGTTCATCTAAAGTTTAGTGAATTGATTAACCATACTGGAGTCACATGGGATGCTGTTTCTGGAAAAGTGTTTGCTAATGATACTGTTTGGGATGATTTTTTTAAGGTATAAAATATCTTAAACCTAATAATTTTATTAATGTTTGACTTATTTTGCTAACTAATAAAGTATTTTTATACCATATATTAAAGCAAGATAAAGTTTTCAAATCGTTCAAGAAAAAGGGTTGTAAGATTTATTCCTTATTGAGTTTGGTCTTCAATAGTTCGACTGCTTCTGGTGCTTTTCATAATGCCTCAACTTGTGCTCCTCAAACATCAGAAGAAGAGCACATAATTGAGGATGAGTATCTAGAGGGTGGTAGTTTTGGTGAGAGTGAGTTTAATGGGGGTATTCGGAAGGGAAAGCGTATGTTGGAAGAGGAAATGGAGGGTTTACCAGGTTCAAGAAGAATGAAAAAAGGTCCTGGAAATTCCAAATATGATACCTTGTTGGATGCATTTTCAGAATCAATAGTCGCTAGAATGGAAAGAGATTTAGCAAGAGCAGAACATTATAAGTCAAAGTATGGTGATGTAACAAGCTCATTGACCGAGGAATACTCAATTAGTGATTGTATGACGACTTTAGAAGCTACACCTGGTGTTGGTGCAAGATCTTACACTAAAGCATTGTCCTTCTTTCCTGATATTAATTGGAGAAAAATGTTCCTAATGATGTCTGAGAATCGGAGGAAACAGTGGCTTGATAGTTTAGATGAGTAGTTGTTTTAGAATTTAGGGATGTCATATAAACATATTGCACTAGTTTATGTTTTGATGTTTATGTATAAACTTAATGTCATTTTGTGGAACATTTTGATGATATGTATGGAACTTGATGTGTGATTTTACTTTTTTTTTGTGTTATTTTACTTGATGGGCATTAAATTCAATGGTTTATGGTGCAGATAAAGTGTCCCAATGTCATATTCATCGCATAGTAGCTCTTACTCAGATGATGACGATGATGAGTTGGAAGATATGATGATGATTGCGTTCTTAATAAAGAACAATAAGAATTTTATTGACCGAACTCCTTGTAGGACATCTATGCTAAGTGGAAAAGAATACATTCGAGAGATAATGTGCGGTAATCCTATCTAGTTTCTAAATACTCGACTTAAATATATATTTGCTTTATGTGGTGTAGATTATTTCTATGTTGTTGATAGTGGGTATCCAAATCTAAAGGGATTTTTAGCTCCATATTGTGGTGAGCGGTATCATCGGTCTGATTGGCAAAGTGGTAGTGGAGTTAGAGGAAAGAAAGAATTATTCAACTTTGTACATTCATCTGTTCGGAATGTCATAGAGCGGGCATTTGGTGTTCTTAAAAAAAGATTTCACATTTTGAAATATATACCAAACTACCCGTTGAGACGCCAAATGTTGATCCCGCATGCATGTTGTGCACTGCATAATTATATACGGATGGAGGATAGGGCAGACACTTTATTCAATACATATGGTGGTGAAAATTTTCAAGAACTCATAGAAGGCTTTAACGTGGTTCAAGAGGGTTTTCCTTTGGATATGACATATCAAGATGAAATGCTTCAAGTTAGAGATTCAATTGCTAACATGTTATGGGAAAGACATACACAACGTCGCCGGGGGCGTTCACACTATTGATAGCATTAAAATAGTAAAACTTGTCCTATTAAAATGTTTATTTTTATGTTATATCATACATTGAATTTTATGTTGCTTCTTATATATTAAATGTATGTGTGGGTGGGGGTGATAGGTAGAAAGAATAAGGGTGGTAGGTAGGGTGGGGTTGGAGGTGGTGGTGGTGGGTAGGTAGGGGTGGGGTATGAGTTAGGGTAGAGTGGTGGGGGGGTAGGGTGGGGTAGTGTAGGATGAGTTAAGGTAGAGTGGGGTGGGATAGGGTGGGGTGGGGTGGGGTGGGTGGGTGGGTGGTGTGATGGGTGGGGTAGGTGGGGGTGGGGGGTGGTGGGTGGGGTGGGGTGGTGTTTGTGATATTAGTTAAAATAACAAAAAATGGAAAATGAAAACCGATAGAAAAATGCACATCTAAACGCGTTTTCTAATTTTCTAAAACAGAAAATGAAAAATGAATAAGATTGAACTAAACGCGTTTTCTAAATTTTCCAATGAAAAATGAAAACGGAAAACGAAAACTGAAAACGGAAAACAGAAAACAGAAATGAAAACTGTTTTTTCACAACTAAATGCAACCTAGGGTTTTCCCTTAAATCCTAACTGCCTCAGCTATATAAGGAGCCTCCTGGCTCCTGAATTTCGTCCATCCCTACACCTGGAGAAATCCTGGCCGAAAATTACATACTCTCTCCTCCTCCTCTCTCTCTCTCTCTCTCTCTCTATAGTTTCATTCTTGCTAGTTCTTGGGTGTGATTCCATTAGAGGCATTACATTTGTGGTGTTAAGCTTCCAAGAAGATCAAGATCAAGGATTACCAATTGTTTACTATAACAATTGGAAGGTATGTGATTCTAAAACCCTAATTAGTTATTTTCGAAAAATAGCCTCCTCTCTTAGGGTTCTTGTTTTGCAATTCAAAGTTATATGTTGAATAGTTAAAACATAGATCCAAAGTAGGTTGCATGTGAACTTAGGAATTGTTTTTCTAGTTTATTTGCTTTACATAAAACTCATCAGTGGTATCAGAGCCATTGATTTTATTTTAAATTGAATTGTTATAATAGTTGAATAACAAATTAAGGTTTATAGCTATTAAACCCTAAAGGTCATGTTTTTCGTTTTTAGGGTTTTGGTTTGAGGGGTTTTCAAAAAAAAAACCCTAGCCTCCATAAACCCTAATCGAAATTAGGGTTAGGGTTTTGAAAAATCCTAGCCACCTTCCTTAAATTTTGAAATTGCCTTAGGTTTGTAGGGTTTCTTGTTTGGATAATTGTTACTTAATTGGATTAATTGGATAATTATCACATACCCTAAATTTTCAAAATTTAGAGGGTATAGGATTAGGATTAAATTAATTGTTTAATTTAATTAGATAATCCTCCCAAGATTTAATAAATTAATTAGAAGTTAATAAATAATTATTAAATCTAGTTTTTGGTTTATTTTGAATTTAAAATTAATAGTCTAATTTTCTAAAATTCATAAAAACCCTAAAGTTTTAAAAAGTTTAAAACACACCTTATATATATATATATATATATATATTATATATCTATATATATCTATAATATATATATATATCTATATATATATTAGACTATTAATTTTAGTTTAAAACCTTAGGGTTTATATGAATTTTAGAAAATTAGACTATTAATTTTAAATTCAAAATAAACCAAAAACTAGATTTAATAATTATTTATTAACTTTTAATTAATTTATTAAATCTTGGGAGGATTATATAATTAAATTAAACAATTAATTTAATCCTAATCCTATACCCTCTAAATTTTGAATATATATATATATATATATATATATATATATATATATATATTATAATTAAAAGTGAAATATTATATATGTATAAGAATTGGTCAGTCGAATCGCTAGTATGCCTCATTCATGAAGCTAGTATATAAGGGGGGGGGGGGATAAGGAAACTGTCTATAAAATGGTAGTTGAATGGGTGTCCACTCTCACCCTCTGCATTCTTAATTAGTGGAGGGTCGTTAGCAGAACGGATTTGATAGGACAATCTAATCTCATTAAAAGTATAATGTTATTAATTAAGTACTAGAACATCATTTTAAAAAATCCCAACTCTAGTTACTTTAGAAAAAATGTGAATAGTATGCTAACCCATGAAATTGCACATTAGGCTTTATAAGTCGTTAGTGGAGCGCATGTGGTTAACTAACACACTAATTAGGACTGATAAAGAGTAGTAATGGGTATCTCATGATTATCATTGTTGATGGAGCGTGTTTATGGTCAGGACTGTGTTTACGGTTTGTTGTGACCGTAAACCTGTTTACAGTCTGCCTGACCGTAATCAGGTTTACGGTCTGTCTTCCTATATATATAGCTTGTCAGAATCTGTCAGTGGGTGGTGGTCAGTCAGTTGAGTTTACGGTCATCAAGTTGTACCTGACGTTTTTCAGTTATTAACGTGTGCAAGCTTGATCCTTATTCTTCTTCTACTCATTTCTTACTTTATTTGATAGTTTGATTGATCACTGGTTAAGATCCTTGTATTGAGGACCTTACAATTGGTATCAGAGCACAAACCGGTGTCAACTCACTTCTTTTCACGTTTATGATCTCAATAGGTTTGTGTTTGTCTGCATTTGAAGCTTGGTTTATTGTTTTCATAGCGTGGGGAATCAATTCAGCTTTAAAATCTGTGTTTTCGTCGAAATCTGGGTGTTTACGGTCAAATTAGTTACAACCGTGAACTCTACTTCAACCGTAATCTCAAGATCTTCAGAAACCGTATACAGCCAATCTTCAGAAACTGTAAACAGTCAATCTTCATTGACAGTAAACAGTTAATGTCCTTCAACCGTGAACTTCAACCGTAAACTCAACCGTGAACCTCCAACCGTAAACTCCAAGCTGTGAAAGTTGACCGTAAACTCGTGTTTACAGCCATAATCATTTGATCTCAAACTATTTCTTTTGGCATTTTAGTTAATTTTTCAAGTCATTTTTCAAGTCATTAAAATGGTATCCTCCAAGTCAGAACCTGAAAAGAATGAGGTAAGTCAGTCCTGTTGTTCTCAAACTTGAATTGATAAAGTTAACAATCTTCTTGAGCATATAGATTTGTTACGTAGAGAGAACGAGGACTTGAAATATGAAAAGTATGAACTTAGAAAAGGACAAAAACCCGTGAGAGCTGAATTAGAAGCTAAAACGAAAGATTTTAGAAAACTTCAGGAGGAATATAGCATTAAAAGCACACATTATAGATATGTGACTGAACAACTCACTGAGGTAACTGCAGAGCTTGACAAATTAAAAAACAAATTTGAAAATGCAGATTTTACATTTAGAAAATTTGATTTGTCAAGCGAAGTTGTTGCATCAATGATTGAAAACAATTTGAAATTCAAGGAAAATCAGTCCAAGGGGTTAGGATATGATAAGGTGCCTCCTCCTTTTAATCATACCTACACTAATGTTCCTTTGTCAAAAAAAGAAATAGACAGAGAGCCATTTCTCAAGTATGGTTTTGTGTCAAGTGGTATCATGAATGTTGAAAATACTAATCTTTTCACTTCCCATGCAGATCAATTGTTAAGTCACTCAAAGCAAGAAGTTGCAGGATATGTTTCTGAAAATAAATATGTTTCTGAACCTGATGTTTTTGTTTCAAAAAATGACTCTTTTGTTTCTGATGTTAATGTCCATGATATATCTTGTGATACTACAGCATCGAATCATGTTGATTTAAATTTCTTTGACATATTTGATGATTTGTTTGATAATTCTAGTGTTCCTGAATTTGATGTTCCTGTTTCAACCACATCCACTTCACCAATCACACAACCGGATTCACCCCCACCTATCACACAATCTGATACTTGCACATGTTCTTGTGATTCAAATAAGAGTGTCAATAAAAAGAGCAAATCAGACAAAGGCAGTACCGGTTACAATAATAATAAGCAGATTTGTTTTAACTGTGGTACTGCCGGTCACATCTCTAGGAATTGTCCTAATAGGGCATTTGTGCATTTTTCGTCTAAACGAGGAAAGAATGAGTCTCGAGGAAGGTCTTTAACTAGAAAGTCCTCGAGATCTCGTTCTCGAAATGATGATTGGAAGGCTAATCAAAACCAGAAAAAGGCAGTTTTTCAAAAGAACAAACAGATTTTCAATAACAAAGTCACAAACAGTTTGCCAAAATCGAACTCGGCTAAGCCAAGGACGGTTTCGTCAAAGAGTGAATCTGGATTTTCAACCACTTCTGGTAGAAAATCCAAATGCTCAAAGCAAACTAAAAAGGAATGTGTTTCAAAATCACCCGTGAATGTTACGAAACCTAAATGCCAGTGGGTGCCCAAACTATCTTCCAACCAATCATCGTCATCCTCTGAAAAAGTGTTACATGATGACACAAAATCAAAAGGATTAAAAGATAAATCTGTGATCGTAAATGGTCCACCCAGGAAAGAAATGACCTGGGTTCCCAAATCTAAATGATCCCGCTCATTTTGCAGGGACAGTTGCGGAGGAATGTCGTCATACCATGGTATGTCGACAGCGGCTGCTCCCGACATATGACAGGAGACATTTCTCAATTGAACGACATTCAGACGTTTAACAGAGGATTTGTTTCCTTTGCGGGTGGTGAAGGCGGAAAAATCACACAGAGAGGAACTGTAACAAACGGAGTGCTGAGTTTCGAGAACGTCAACTATGCTCCCGAGTTAAAGCACAGCTTGTTAAGCGTCTCTCAGATCTGCGACAAGGGTTATTCAACGCATTTTACTGATAAAGAGTGTCTGATATTAAAGCCAGACATTGTCATCCCGGATGAGTGGATTCTTGTCAAATCGAAGCGGGATGGAAATGCTTACATTATAGACATGAATAGCAACATACCTGAGCAAGTCACCTGCCTCTTCTCAAAAGTCTCAAAACAAAACGCTATGTTGTGGCACCGACGACTCGGCCATGCTAACGCTAAGAATCTGAATCGTCTTGCTAAAAACGAAATGGTGTGTGGCCTGCCTGTCAGAGACTTTATAACATTTGAAAATTGTGTGTCATGTGCACAAGGAAAGCATCACAGGAAACCACACCTGCCAAAGCAAATCAACTCAA